CCTTTTAGCTGGGTAACTTGCGTTATTGATCATATTTTATTATTATTTACATTATCACGTTGAATAACTTTACTTTAAGAGTCCCTTTACATGTAGAGGGCTTCGAATTTACATCCCGCTCGGTGGCGTACCGTTCACATCCTGGTTGTAACAGGTGCGTGATGCGATGACGTCTGTACTTGGTGAGTCATTGTACGCTCAGTAGGATGCGCTGATGTTTGACTGGAGCACTGAAGTCGGCCTTGATGAAGTCCATACATATCTGCTCCGTCTGTCCGATGCTCATGTACTGTGACGCCACCAGGATGAAGTTACTGAGCAAAAGAAGACTCATTTACGGTCAAACGACTAAGGGGATGATTAGTGTACTTGCATTATATAAGAGCCTCATGCACTCACTACCGTGTCAATGTCCTCGAAAACACAGCACACAGTCACAAACTCACACTTTCATCCGAGGTGGGGAAATTCAGCACGGTACACAATAATTGTTCATAAATAAAAAACGGCTAAGATGAATTCCAACTACATCCGTACTATTCACACAGTGTTATATAATGGGAATAAACATTTTAATGTTTCCCATAAGATACGGGCATCTTGCACTTTAATGCAATCTACAAACATATTATATATTATTGTGAAAACCAGAATCCTTTTCTCTGTAAATAATAATGCACATCACATATCGCGATGCTGGAACTTGTTTGAAACTTGTTTCAGTCGCGCGCAAATGATTTGCGAAGTCAACACTGTAACAAGATTAAATCTAATCATGCTAATTTAGCATCGTTCAAATTAAATACTGCACTAACCGAGATCAAAATATATGTACAGACTTTTTTTGTTTAAAAAATCTACAATTTATTTTATTTATCTATGTCTGCATGGGTATCCGTGCGTTTTTACCCTTAATCTCTCTCTCTCTCTCTCTCTCATCGTCTCTCGTCTTCTCTCTCTCTATATATGTATATATATATATAGCTATATGTATATTCTCTTTCGCAAATTAACGTTTTTCCGGCTTATGGCATCGACCCTTTAATATAACAAGGCTAACCAAGACAAATGGTGGCAGCTAGTGGGCTGACTAACTTGTGCACTGCCAGGTGAAAAATAGTGTACAACGACAAACGCGCTGACTCACCATAAGACCTCCTTCCTAGGATCAGCTGATGAGGGCTGGCACATGGAGGTGGCCGGTTTGTAATCGTTCTCCTCGGCGCTAACGTGTGCGAGCAACGCCACGAGCGCCATCGCCATGCCCGCGGACCAGCGCATGATGCTTATATAAGGTATATCTTTACGGCTATATTCACTCTCACTGCTCGTGCGGCCGTTACTTGTTAAACTGCAGTCTGACTTCGTCCGGCGATCCTCCCAACCGCTACCGTCTGTTCAGTAAAGTTCCTACTGCGTTTGCGCCTTGAATGTGCTACTGCACAATGCGACTAAGTTAGACGCACCCCTAGATATGCGCTTATATAGTGGTTGCTGCCGGAGACCCGGTTCTCCTTGTAAACAGGTCCCGGACGTGGTTGAATGAGCTCAGCTAGCCGGTTAACTCACAGTCGTGCGGTTGATTGTCGTGTAGCGGTTAATTGTCATCGCCAGATGTTATGTCCTAGCTTAACTTAACATGCGGGATGACTAGATGTGTGGTCTGTGGTTCAGTGGACCCCGGTAATAAAGAGGACTTTGTGCAGGTGTTTTACGCACCCGGATCCTACTCACGGTCTACGTTAACGTAATGCGGGTCTCGCATTTAATGGACAAGGCTTGGCGCTGTGAAGTCCAATGCTTTCTCACAGATCACTCGTCCGTCCGTTTAGCAGGAACGTGGCAGATATTAAAAAATATTCGTGATACTGTGGGCGCAGACAAATGAAGAAGAAAGTCACAGGAGGGTGTGTTTACGCAAGACATGGATATACCGGTTAAATCTTCTCACG